AGTTAAAATTTATAATTTAGTAAAATTATACATAAATGCTATCGAATGAAATTTCAATTGCAACTTTGAAAATATCATGCTTTTCCCCAGCTCAGACTTAAAGAGTGATCCAATTTTTATTATTTTCGGTAATTTTGTTTGAAATACGATATCTAATTACTAATCATACAATTAAAGAGCTTATACTAAAAGCTCAATTACATATAATCTACACTTATTTTATTACTTATTCAGTCAAAATGTGTAAGTAGAACTATACACAGTAAAATTTACAAATAAAATAAACAAACGATCAACAAAGAAAAAAGCCTAAAGGCCCTGGCCCAATGCAGGCTTGCTCACTTTGCTTTGATTTACTTCAAAAAGTCGTTTGGCCAAATGGCGGCTTGGAACGCTGTCAAAGCAGCCAGTTGTGTAGTTAAAAAGTCAAGGTCTGTTCCCTTACAATAAGAATTAGTTTTCCACAAAATTCCAGATCATTAAAAAAAGTATATACAAAACAATATTTTCAGATTTATTTTTAATTGAATGCGAATTAATTTTTGCGTTTCAAAGGAATGATAATAATTATACATAAACATATAACTATATGTAAATATATTAAAAACAAACTCCTAAAGGAAATCAATTTTTCAAGAGATGACTGACCAGTGGTTTAACATCATAAATATCGCTAGCTTTGTGTGAAAAGTTACTTAGTAAACATTTATGAAACCTTATATTTTGATATAGGAAGCAAGAGAAATTAAGGATTAAGTAACTAAGTACTTGTTTTATTTTCTCTCGCCTATATTCAATTAAAGACAGATTTTGTAAGGCAAAATGGGGCCCCGAACATCAAATTAGGCCAAAATAATGCGAAATCTTTTAATAAAGTCCGATTTTTTCTGATTCGTATAGAGTTTTGCTGCTTTCAGCTTGAAACACATTGGAAAAGGCAGGCTACGGACCACAGCTGTCAAATTATTTTAACACGTACTCTCATGATAAAAAAAATAGGAAGGTAGAACCGCTGAGAGGAATTTTCCAAATTCTTGACGTTTGCAAGCAATTTAATATTAAAATTTTACACACAAACTCACACACACATTCTCATTTTCAATCTCAAACAACAACAACTTTGAACAATAAATTTTTTTTTACTCTCAATTTTATATGATTTTAAAATGTTGGCAAACTTAAAAAAAAGTATGATCGACGAATTGAGAGAACGGGTTTACCTTACTATGTTTTTATCATGGGTACTCTTATGTAGATAATTATTTTGGCGACGACAGAGGTACACCACGGCTGTGGTTGAGGAAAGGGGCCTATTTCATAAAAGTGACTGGTGCAACATTTGTCGATTTTTCTATAAAATTTCACTACCAGAATTGTCGGCGATATTTTTTCTGTTTCATATACGCTTGTACGCAACTGTGACAATATTTGGAAAGCGACAGTGACAATACTGGAATATTGTCGACAATTGTCCGAAAATGGTGCTTACAATTGACACTCCGACAAAATTGTCGTGACAATAGCGACAAAACCAAATAGCTCCGTCGGATAGTATTGTCAAGAGAGTTTTGTAAGTTTATTTATATGGTAATTGCGCACATTTCATTACTTTTCAATGATTTGAATAGTTCTTAAAGCTAAAATAAAGCAAATACAATATTACATATAATGTACGTATAAGTTTCATATGACTCGCGACAATTTTGTCAACGACAATTTTAAAACCCGACAAGTACAATTATGTCACTTCTTCAATAGGATTTGTCATGGAATCCAAACGGTGGTGACAATTGTTTTTGTGAAACTAAACACCCACCAAACTGGCGAATTGTCACTAACAATACGGAAAATGCCTGTCGCGACAAAATTATCACTGTCGCTTTATGAAATAGGCCCCAGATTAGATCTATTTCCAATTTTTCTAGCGTCAGATAAGGTTCTTCATCTTCGTCTTTAATGTCAAACTCATACAAATTCATGACAATGGATAACAAATTGGAAGCTGTGGCCCGTGGCCCATCGTTTCCAATGTATTTCAAGCTTTAAACACGCAAAATGTTGTATTCAAAGTTCCGGTAAAATTTGTAAAGTGGACTAAGCAACTCTTCACTCTAGGCCAGCGATATGTTAAATATAAATAAGGAAACAAATCCTTTTTATTAAACTTCAAATAACCTATCTTATGTTATTTTTTTTTTTGTTTTTTAATTTCTCAAGCAAATTTTTGTTCATAAAAGTGTGCAGCAGTTTGTTTTGAATTAATTTAGAACGGAAGCATACCTTTTCGTCAAAAGCCTATAAAACGCTTTCAAATAAAACATTTGCCGTTTTGAAACTTAGAGGCGCTTAAAGCAAGTGAAGCAAAGTTGCCATTTGGCCAGCCTTCATGCATTTTAGTATATTTTTAACAACTTTTGACAGTTCTCAAAGCGAAGCAAGCAAAGTAAGCCTGCATTGGACCAATACCTTAACTAAGGGGCCTTATCATGAATTTTCATTCCGTGTGAACTCGTTCACATTTCACTTTTGTAGTTCACCTATCGTATGTTGAATATTCACCCAGCGAAGTAGTTCACTTCGAATCACGATCACACTATCGTATAACGTATTCACCTGTGAAATAATTTACACTCGCACATATAAAATCGCAAAACAATAGCTAAATTTTCCGGAGCAATTTTTCACCAAATATTCATGATAAGGCAGAATACCACACACATATACAGTGACTCAATAAAATGACCACTTGTTGATTTTTGTTAATATTCATAATGTTTTTGGAGCTAAATTAGTTTGTGTTATTTTTCTATAAAAAAATCTCAAACTTTATCCAAAATCATATCAATCACATTTTCAAACTTTATACAAAATTTAGAAAAATTCAATAAATTTTCATAAAAATTTCAACTTTTTAATCTGAATCTTTAGAACATTTTTGGGTATACAGTTTTATAGCCCATACAATTCTAGTCTAATGAAGTGCAAGTTTCATCCGAATAAATAATCGCGTTTATTTTTGAGAGTTTTTTTCGATACTACTTTTTCGTTTTTTTTTTTATATAACAATTGCAATTTATAGAACCTGGCCGCAAAGCATATCAAACAGGTAGTAGCATTAGAGCAAAAACCTTTTCGTGTATTTTATTGTTGCTTCTGGTATCAAAAATGTCAAAAACTGCTTCGATTTTCTTCTTCTAAATCAAAGCGTGCCATTCGAAATACAAAAAAAAAATTAAAAATACAAAATTGAAATTGGGAAAAATAAAAATTGTTGCAACCATGATACAATAATTTTTAGAAGGTAGTTTCATTTCAAAATTTTTGACATAAACCGTGTCTGTGACAAACACGCAATGTGGCCACTGCTACGATATAGAACTTGGGGATTTTCGCTTGTTATTTTAGATATTTTTTAACAGAACATGTAAATATTTATATGTTTCATAACTGATCACTTAATTTTTAATATAAATATACGTATTTAATACATACATTTTTGCCACTGCTAATCACATGAATAAAAATCATAAAAATGAAAATATAACGGCAATATTTCTTGTTTATAATGGATTAGATCCATCGCACACCACGGACTATATCGGCCGCCGATTTAGATGGGCTCGCTAGTCTTTCCATTGCACCACAACTAATTGGTCGGAGCGATTAAGCTGGTGTAGTGTGCGCACCTCCATACATCTTCATGTACATATTTCAAGCGAGCCCTATTATTTAAATAGGCGGCCGATAAAGTCTGTGGTATGCGATGGCTCTTATAGCTGTATCCTTAGATCTATTCCGTATGTTGCAATATCCACGAAAGCAGCAGTTAATTTTTTATGAAGAAAATTATTAAAAAATATTCGAAAATTATTATTTATTTTTCCAACGTCAAAAGCTGGATTTTTTTTGAAAAAGTTGGTACAACAAAAAATACGAAACACGTTTTCTGTCAGATAGCTAACATGGCGGATAAAAAGAAGTGAAACTACCTTCTAAAAATTATTGTATCATGGTTGCAACTTTATGTCTTAGTAAACTATTTTTTTTGTTGTGTTTGCTTCTTGAAGCATTGATCCATCCTTTGCACAGCCCAGTAATCAGCGGTTGTGCTGCTGAGTTGGGCGGTCGCTCCAAAAGCTGTTATTCAATCGCTTGTTTTGTATTGAAAAAGGTTGCCCATGCAAATAGATTTTGAAATGTTGTTGCTAACGGTCTCCTGCGTGTTATTTCATAAGAAATTCATGCTTACATACATATATGGAAAAAATTGCAAATCTCAACGTGATTTTTTAGCCGTTTGCAACTTGCACTTCATTAGACTAAAGTTGTATGGGCTATAAAACTGCATACCCAAAAATGTCCTAAAGATTCAGAGTAAAAAGTTGAAATTTTGATGCACATTCTTGAATCTTCCTAAATTTTGTATAAAGTATGAAAAGTGATTTATATGGTTTTGAATAAAGCTTGGACGATATTTTTATAGAAAAATAACAAAAAAAAATTTGCCCGGAAAACATCAACACATGGTCATGGTCACTGTATATGTAGGTATATGTATGTATGTGCAGGTATGCACACATCTTGTGTGATTACACAACGCGAAAACAAATTTACAACAAGGAAGAAACTAATGATTTTCAATGAACTCCCAATGTCATATTGGAATATGGTATGAAAGATATTCCAATACTTCACAACGTCGATTATTAAGTGCAAATATCTAACGTTTTTTTTACAAATTAACACAATATTTAGCATGATTTTTTTTTTATATGGATAGAGATAGAATTATGCGTCTAAAATCTGATGAAAACTGCGAGTCACTCCTCAATAACATGAAAAGTTTTATAACACGTCATGTAAGTGTAATTATTTTGCAAATCCACCCGAAACTGCAATTCCTTCACAATATATAGTAGTTACATATATTGTTTCGTTGAACCTACAAAGGTGCGTTTGAATTCTCTCTAGTTAGTCTATAATTGAATCGGCATCCTGGGTTCGATTATTGACTTCTTATATTTTTGTTTTGTTAAATTCATAATTTGATAAGCTAATTCTTAGCTAACAGGTCTACATTTGTTAAGTTTACATTGCCGTTTTTATAATAAACATTTTTGTCCTAAGTCATAGGTTAAAAATTGTCCTACTAATCGCAAATATTTTAAAACCTATCACTTAGTTGTAACGTAAATGCGCTTAGAAAGTGCCTTTGTCATGAATTACGTTCATATTTAACAAATCTCACCTCTTTCAATGCTTATTTCCCAAAATCACTATGTATGTACATATGTATGTATGTATGCAAATGTTTTTACATTTAAATTTTGTAATATATCTTGCTATATAGTAGGTAAGCTTTATGCTCTCAATAACTATATGCTTATATATGTACTTCTATGTAGGTGTGTGTGTATTAAACAAGTTATAATATGTTTAGCGCATTGCGTTTATATTGCAGTTTATCCATTCGTTTTAGCAGCCAGTTAGTTCCACCCACTATCGACTATGGATTAATGACTGTAGACTTAAATGAAAAATAGTTCCTTTCTTTTGCCGCAGTCATTTATTTGGCACTCAAACATCGATTGGGAAGAAGTCTTTGAGCAGCGTGGTCCGACGCTTTTCAGCAATATCCATTTGATTTTCCAAGTCACCTAAATCAGTTGTTTCTGCACGTTCGATCTTCCATGAAAGATTTTCAATTTCCGCCTCAAGTTGTGCCTTAAAATAAATTAAGTACATGTATGAATTAAATAAATTGACATAATTATTGTATTAATTTTTTTATTGAACCAAAAATAAGACTAAAAACTGTGTGACCACTGAAACCATTCCACTTTGTTTTTATGCCAAATGATGCCCTTAACCCCAATGAGAACTTTGATTTTACAAAAGAGAAAATGGAAATCGATTGAGAGATGTTTATTCGTTCGTTTGAAAGTCTATACGATAACTCGTGTAAAATTTATGATATGTAGATCAATGAAAATCGACGTGTCCACAACCCTTGGTTTAAGGTAATTTGGTATTGGAAATGGGCGAAAGCAGATTAAAACCACGCCTACCTCTCGTATAGCGGCATTAAAAATGCATACAGAGTTACGAGTAACCTTTAAGGAAGAATGCAAATTTTTTTTTTATCAAATTTGGTTTTGGTTTGTGGATCAGCCATGTGATGCGTTTAGTATATTAATGCATAACGCTGCAAGACACTTATGCTCTCCATAAATAACACAAATGTTCTGAGCTCTGAAAGAACTAGGAGAAATTATGAAACTTTTTAATGGAGCAACCCTTGTGCACTATTAAAATTTGCATTAACATTGGACTAGTTGTACTTTTATGAAATAATACTTAGAATCAAAAACTAATGAGAATCTACTCACTTGCTGATACTCAAAAAGATCCTTTCGTGAACCGCTTTCCATAAAGTATGCATATGGATATGTATACTGCAGCGTATACCGACATTTCGCTAACAAGGCTGCAGCGTTGAACAAATACTGCCAATCGATCCATGTACCCCGTCCTTTCATTACTTTCTCATTGATTCGCTCACGCAGTCGATCAATGGTTTGTTGTTCCAATTGTAACGATTTCGAGTGGTTCTCCCAGCGTTCATAGTAGTGCAAATACTTTTTCAGAGCTTCCCGAGCTTGTACATGCACCGATTCGTTGGCAATGTTCGGATTATCCTTATAGCGAGAACACTCATAGTATTCGGATCCATGCGTCTTCCAATCACCTAGACACATCCAGCAAAAGTCATGCTTGCAGTTAAAGCATTGCATATGATTACAGCCTCCATTTTTTTCAATACAGATGTGGCATTTTGGGCAGTCTTTTGTGTTAGCGCTAATGTAATTGGCTGTTTCACTATCGTCGGCACATTTCGTTAGCCATTTTTTGATGACTAAACAGTCAGTGGGCGCGTGGTAGTCCATACCACACCTGAAACAAAATGACGTATGGCAAGAAGTGCATATGACGCGCTTTGCACAGATTTCCGGTGAACGTACTATAATTTGGCAATTTGGTCCGGGACAGAAACGCAACTGGGGATGGGACTTAACATAGTCCTTAAAGGCGAACTGTTGGTACTTGTCGCGCATTACGGGGCGTGTCACTAGGGTTAACACCAAATCTTCAGGAACACGCACATTACACATTGGAGCCATGCAGCCGATTTGTGTGGAAATTCCTTGGAAGATTTGAGTATCAAAAAACATTGACCAACAGTCTTTGCAGAAAGCATGACTACAAGCAAGGCTAAAGAATTTGTCACCCAGTTGTGAACTGGCACATACTGGGCACATTTGACTGCGATACGACGTGGGACCACCACCAGGCGTCGCTGCGTTATATACACCTACTGGAATCAATGAGCTGCGTGGCTGGTCGCCAATACCACTATTATTACTGTAGGCGATTGCATCTTTGCTGGTGGATGGTGCTGTTGGGTCAGGTAGACTAAGCGTTGGATTAGGCGGTTTAATACGAGCAGTTATAAGCAGAGCATTGGCATCTTCTCGATATTTATCAACCACAACTTGATTGTCCCATTCGTGTTCAAGCAGCAGCACTTTCGCTAGTGACGGAGTAATGTGTAGGATCGTGTTAAGCTTTTCTACTGATTCATTTAGCAATTTTTCCACTTCCTCCACCGTGAGGCATTCAAATTCGAAGTATTCGGGATCAGTTTTCTTCGGATCTAAGCGCTCTACATCTGAGTCTTCACCTACAAATTAAAATACGGAACGGGTTTTAGTTTTATTCTATTATGGCGAGTTCGTTTCTTCCAAAAAACGTGACCCTTCCCCGGTGCAAAATGTGTTGGATGTTGCACTCAACCCTGCGAATAGGCATGTTTTTGCCTTCTTGTCCTTGTCTAGCTCACGCATTTCATCATATTGCCGTTTTAAACAACCATCTAATTTGCAGGGCAACCATCTCCCCTGACAAAGCTTCGCAGGCAGTGAATGTGCCTTTTTTGCCTTACAAGAGTGTGACATTTTAAGGAACGAACACATAATTTTCTCACCCTTTGCCTTTAATTTAGAATCGAACACAAAAAGAGAATGCGGCAATCAAAAGGCAACATTTTTTGGTAGAAACGAAATCACCATTAGAAATACGATATGATACATGTTAAGATAGAATGCATGCTAGGATGCAACGAATAAATGACATTGCGATTTTCATATCCCTTAAAGTACAAAAAAAACCAAATCGTTGAGTGATTTTCGCCGGGCGGAGCGATGCCGTCGGGTTGCCGCTACATATACTGCAGTGCGTTTTAATTTTGACAACTTTCTTTCGACGAAGTTCGCTCAGCGATTTGATTCTGTTTATTTTTTTTTAGCTAAAATATTAAACTACATACTTACTCTTAAAAATCGAAATTATCATCCCATTTGGCTACGTTAATTATTTTAGAATTATCCAATTTTGTTGCATACTAAGCAAATGTGTGTTTTTTATCGTATAAACATTGAATATTTTAAATAACTTAAAACTTCATAAGGTTAAGTATAAAAAAGTTAAGTACAGGCTATTTTGGAGATGTTGTTGTTGTAACATTATGGCTGCGTTTCTTTATACATTCCGGATAATCCCATTTCACAGCCGGAATAAACAGAATGTGTTTGAAATATACGTTAACATATCATCAGGAACGTTCTAAAGAATAAGTAAACAAAAAAGTTTATTCCAAACGTTCAGAATGAATAAAGAAATGCAGCCTATATAAATTTCCCAAAGAGCTTTTGGGGAATGATGCTGAAGTGACAGTCCTTGGCCAGATACGAATCTGGGTCGCTCCGGTTGCGTAGACCCGAATGTCATCACATACGTTTTCTTTGAGCTGACTGAGATTTAAAACGTGAAACTTCACTCAGGCGCACAAAACCAACCCAGTAGATATTTTCAGGCCTTCAAAAGGCTATAGTAGAATTACAAAATTCTCTTTTCCAAATAAAATTATAATTTATTTAAATAAATATGTTTTAACAATTTGAACGTGGAATTATTAATAATTTCCAGCAATGAAATTTCTATGAATGTAAAATCGTCAACAGTAACAAAAACTATTTCTTAACAAGTATCAAAGAATTTAAGTGTGTGTACATATATAATTGTGTCAACTTATGACACTACAAATACTCCCCCTCCAAATCAAGTAGAAAGTTGTATTGTATAAATGTTGCTAATTTCAAAGATTGTATTTTTTAAGTAAAGAAAATGTGACTCGTTTCTTTGGTGTACTATCTATATTAATATTTGCTTTGTGTTCCGTGTATGCAGGTTTAATCGATTGATATATTCTTGAATTCTCCATTTATAAGTATTTTAAAAAACCCAAGACTCTTCTAATTAACTTCAAAAGGTCCCTCATAAGGGCAGCTTAAACCACGTTTTTTATTCATAATTTTAACAAAAACCTGTTTACATGTCCTTAAACTGCTTGGCATAAAACATTTTCCGAAGTAACATGATGTGATAAATCTCAATGAGAGTTTTTAAAATAACTTTTTCATTTAGTTAAGAAGTCTGTGTTATTGAAATCCTTCTGAGTATCAGTAACAAGTTCACCTGGTAATCGTAAATTTTGACCATTTCCGAAGGGGTTGCCCCTAAATCTTCTTTAAAACAAGAACGCAAACCTAATAAATTATCGGAAGTTCTTCTGACTAATTGTTTGATGTACCACGAGCAACAATGGAAGCTTTCAATTGCCAGTGGAATCGTTCTATCACTCCATTTGCCTGAGGATGATTTGCGGAAGTTGTAATTAGCTCACTTCACTTTGGTCACTTTTTATATGACTCGGTACCCCAAAACGTGGAATATATTGCTGAATAAATTTTTGAACAATATATTTTACTGTAGCTTCTCTTAAAGGATAAACTTCAGGCCAACGCGTATTTCTATCCATGATAGTTAAGATATATCTAAATCCATTTTACATTGATAACGGACCTACAATATCTGTATGTATATGTTCAAATCTGCCCTTATTAACTTCTATTTTTGAAACTGGAAACTTAACATGTCTAAAAACTTCTGACTTTTGACAATCAATACATGTTTTTGTCCATTCATTTACCTCTTTCCTCATAAGAGGCCAGAAATATTTAGAAGTTAACAACCGCCGCGAAGCTCTGATACCTGGATGACTTATACTATGCAATTTGTCAAATACTTCTCTTCGTAAACTATTTGGTATGTAAGGCCTAGTATTCAAATTGTTTTCTTCACAATAAATGTTTTAATTCAAAAATCGTATTTTAATTTCTACTATCTTATAGGGACACGGAGAATTTTGCATAAGACTTTTCAATTCATCGTCTTTCATTTGTTCAGAATATAATTTTTTAAAATTAACTTGTTCTAACGCTTCAATCTCTGGAATTCTCGAAAGTGTATCTGCAACTATATTATCCTTGCTGGAAATATATTGAATATTACTAGTGAACTGCGAAATATATTCCAGATGCCTAATTTGTCTAGGACTTCTTTCGGTTTGTGAATTTAAAACATAAGTTAAGGGCTTATGATCAGTGTACAC